CAGAAGCTGGAGGAGGACTTCGACGCCTTCACATCCACCAAGGCGCAGGACCTGGCCCAGCCCCTCGTCGAGGCCCAGATCCCCTTCAAGATCCACATCGTGAAGGACCACGACATGAAGGAGCGCCTCTGCCTGGAGGTCGAGAGGCTTGGCCTCAGCGCGGTCATCATGGGAAGCCGGGGCTTCGGCGCGTCCAGGAGGAGCAGCAAGAGCCGTCTCGGGAGCGTCAGCGATTACTGTGTGCATCACTGTGTTTGTCCAGTCGTGGTGGTCCGCTTCCCGGATGATGGAACCGGCGTCGGATTGGGGCCCGGGGGATCATCAGCGCCTCTCGACAATGGCGCCACGCTTCCTTTGGAGAAGGACGTGGAGCTCCATCCCGTGCCTGAAGAGGAGCAAGAATACCATGATGCCACCGATGAGCATAAAGGTGACTGCTTTTTCTTCAAATGTACATGACTTATATCTTTGCTATAATACCCATGACTTTTGTTCATTCTTTGCTTCGCTTTAAGTTTAAAAGGGTGGATTAGACTTTGTCATGGGAGGCAAATGCTGATAATTCTACGATATATGTCACTATAATTATAGTTGGATGTATCGATCCTGCTCAAAGGATTACAAGTTTTAATTTCTTTAGGGATTTCAAATCTCTAGAAAAAAGCTATTTTCAGTTATCACTGTTCTGTAATGCCTGGAAGTCAAGAAAAGAGTTATACTGTGAACTTTTCTTGGCTTATTCGGCTTATTCATTAGTGTATAGAATGGATCAGGAGATATGAAGAACAAATTACATGGATTTGAGTCCCTTGGTTTCAATATCAGCAAAATGCAAGTTTGGTGGTGTAAGTTGAACCCAAGACATCAAAACAATAATCCAATACTGATATTGTAGTGCTAAGCCGAAGAAAGTGCTTTGAGCATGTAGAACAGAATTGCTGCCGCATCTGTTGCACTTATGTTAATGATATGAAGAATCACTGGCATAAATAGAAACCCTTGTATCTTCAGGTGAATAATAAAGCTTTCGTATTTTGATGCCATGGAAGCTAGAATTTTTACATAGCCTCCAACCTGTTCCACTTGTGATTTTTACAGGACAAATGACTAAATTTGGTTTAAAAATGACTAATGTGATTTTTAGATCGATGCCCCAATTTGGAGGTTGTCTTTATCTATCAACATATTTTCTTGGCAAGGTGTCAAAATGTCTTTGTTTCCCATTTTATTTGAATTTTAAAGAGATTGCTTTATAGAGACTAAATTGTGACCTTGTTTTCACTTGCTTAGGGATCTAATGCAAATATTATAGTCTATAATCATAATTAGTTTTGTTAATCCATATGTTCCAATTAATTAATCAATGGCCACCTTAGTGGTGGGGCACTAGTTCATAGGATTTGAGGATTAGCAGTTTCCTTTTTGCCTTGATATACTGTTACACCTGCAGTTTGGATTTGCAGACTGTGTAGTTTATCCAATTTGATTCATAAGAATATCCTATAACAATAAATTGAAGCCTTGTCTTGCAAACTTAGGGGTACATGATTCCACGGTTGTAAGAAGCCATTAAAGCTTGGATTCGATCCAGGGAAACTCCATTGTTGCAATTTATGCATATTGTAGAATTAGTTCTTTTGTGATGGTTTCTAGTGCACCAGTCATGTATCAATATTTGCACTTTGTGTTGACTTCTAGACGTCATTGTTCAAGTTGTCATCTTCATTGTGTGGTAAATTGTAGCTACACCATATGCTGTTTGTTTCTATTTAAACATAATGTGTTCATGATGTATGATCATTTGATTTTATTTTTTAGAGATTTCTGTGTTATAGTATCGTTCGGCCACTTTTGCAGCTTTATAAATATGGAAGTTACATGTTACTATGACAATGAGTTTGTGATGACCGGACTAACTTCATGTATGATGTAATTCCACTTGATGTATTAAGCTGAACATTTGCAATGACAGATAGAAGAGTGAACTTTCATGACAGTATGCTGATATGTTTTGTTGTTTTTATAAGAATGCTTTTTTAGCTATTCACTGTCTCTTTATCCCTATCTCCTGACCAAATAGTTCTATTGTTTTTACTTGAGCAAGATGAACTCATGTCATATTACACACATTCTATGATGATACATTTGTTATCATTTTGTAAAATCGTGCAGCTAAATTTTCTAACTAAATAGTGTTATTAGCATTCTGAATTTGAATATCTTGTCATATTTACTGAGGTCAAATGATATTAATTAGCCATATTTCATTTTATTTGGAATTGCTTTCTCAGGAGTTTGTTTTCATCTTGTAATTGCTTGATTAGCTGCACTTTTTCTTAATATTCTTGTAATCAATTCTTATGAATGACAAATATTCTTGTTCCTTCAAGCGAGCACTGATCGAGTGCTAAAGCATGCTTTAGTTGTAGAATGAACCAAGGGGAAGAAAGATGCTTTCATGAACCTGTCACCTTCTAGTATTCTAACTTATATTGATTAGATTTGTCTTCCTCTTTTTTTCTTTGATGTATGCTTGCAAATTGTTTTGCAGATGCATGACAAGCATACTTACTGTGGCATAGGCATCTTATGTTATGGTAAGAAGTGAACTTCCAACAAAATTTGTGTTATGCAGTGCTTTATGTTTAGTAAATAATCACTTTGACATGTTCATGCTGCTCATATCATTATGAGTTACATTGGTATTGGGTTTCTACTACTACTACTATCTTTTCATCTTGTTTGGGCTCTTCTCATTCTTGTGACTGAATTTATCATATACTTCCTTTTCTGCTTGGAGACGGTTGGCCAGTTTCCATTTTATTTCTTTTTTTGTTTTCTGCAAATGGAAAATCCTTGATTGGTATGGGTGCTTGATCATGATTCAAGCAGCTAACTTGAATACTAAACAATGGTTAGTACAAAAAATGGTAGAATTGTGCTTTATGGTACAATGAGAATTCAATTTCTTCAAGATGCCTCGTTAGAAAAAGTTTGGCATGTTAATCTCTTTTCTATATATAAACCATATCTTAGCCATGCATCTTAATAAGTCTGAAGTATTTCAGAAAATAGAAAATGAAAGGATTTGTGTAGATCGAATTTTATGAGGTGTCCAAATCATGTATTACCATAGTCATCCATCTGATTGGTGGAGAATGCTAGCTGCTTTTGGAAGCTGTAAGAGATAAGAGGGATAACCAGTACAAGTTTTATATAGATTTTCACTCCATGATCCACACAGATCGACGATAGAATTTTTATTATAGTTAGCATCCTTATGGAGGTGGTGCTTAGAGTTCATGAGGCCTAAGAGATAACAGAAGCTCTGCCAATAGAATGGATATTATGATAGGAAAATATATCAGATATATGGTTAAAGTTTTTTGTCTCACTATCATTCTCCTTTTTCGCTAGAGTATGGAGATTGATTTGATGGCCCTATGACCAGTAAAAATGCTTGTAGTGTAGCTCAATGATTGGAAAAAATACATTTAGCTGATCTGAAGACTAAAGAACTGTGAACGATAAATTTTCCTGGAAGTTGGTAGATTATACGGATGGATAATACGTCTGCCTTTGAGGACGTGCATAGGGTCTTGGCAATGCTAGAGACTTGGTGAGTGAAGGTACTTGAAGATCCACAATACCAGAGGCAAGGTTTTACTTGGACACCAGTTGGGCGTCTGTATAGATTAAAATTCTGGTGCATGATTTAACATGCTGCCAAAACTTAGAGGGTGAGCGTTAGCACCATGGTGAGGGTTCTCTTGTAGGGTATGGGGTGGGGTTTGATCTACCAAGTAAAAATGATCGCCACTTGTAAGGGTGAGACTGCATATATGAATCTCTCTTTACACCTTGCATTCACGGGAGCTTGTTCGCTGGTTGTTCTTTTTTCAGGACTTAATTGATTGACAAATATTAGCATTGACAATTTCTATGGTTCTGCCTTCAACAAAACCACCTTGTTAGGTTGCTATAACCTTGTTACTCTATCATTTGAGATCATTTACCATTTTTAGACCACACATCAAAACAGGCCAGCTCAGTTTTTTGTGATATTAAAGTGTACAATATTAACAAGTCTTATTAAGGTAAATTGGCAACAAGCAGATGAATTACTAGATTCCCTGTGAAGGCAGTGCCAGTTGTCAGTCCATAATTTGCTTGTGTTGTGAGTGGATGGTCATTTTTGTGGCATAAATCATTATCTGCCTCTGTGTTTATATTGTTTGCAGATGTCATTCTAAATTGCACTCTCCTAAAAGATGATGCTAAATAAAAAACTTGTTCTTTATTTTTTTCCTTCAGCGTAAGAAATGACATGGATGATGCTGGTTGGAGATTGACTCAGCCTTTTTCATCAGGGACTTCGTCATGTAATGTTTTTTATGCTGATGTCCATAGTGATCATGTTGTTTACCTGTCAACTTTGAGAAGCTGGACAACTGTTGGGTGTGCATCTTTTGCATTTGCCAGTGTCTTATTTATGTGTCTGCTACTTGTTTCTTTCAAATAACTATGCTCCTTTAGAAGCATCAATCATATATGTGTCTGCTACTTGTTTCTTTCAAATAATTATTATGCTCCTATAGGCGTCAACTGATGCAGAGTCATCGTTTAGCTCTGATATACACGTATCAAAGCATTACATATCCCACCCACAGGATGGTTTAGTCAGCTGGAACTGCACAGGAGCCACCATCAAGAATGAATGACGCTCACTCTTCATTCTTTTTCTATGATGCAAAGTTGGTCCATATTATCATCAACCAGGTTCAGATTTTATTGAAGTTTAGCAGGAAATGACCTTTTCAGCTCTTGTTTCTGTAGCTTATTTAATTAGAAAGACCATATTTTTCGGTGTTTTAATGGCAGATGCAGGATTCATACGCATGTGTCGAATGATGGCTTAGGTAAGCTGCATTACCCTCTCTCTCTCTCTCTCATCGTAAATGTAGACGATGGATGGATCTCAGGCTTGCAAGACAGTAACATTGCCCAGCTGCAACATGATCATGTAACAGGAGGAGAAGAGAAGGCAGAAGAGGAGGAAGAAGAAGACGAGCTACAACTAGTCCTGGTGCGGTGCGTCAAGAAAGAGAGTCGAGGCAGCTACAGAGTAGGGGAAGAATTGAAGACGTCAGGGAGAGAGCCTTCGATGAGCTCCGGACTCAATCTGACCATGAGCACGCAGAACTCCATCTGGTCCAACACGCCGTCCCCGTTGAGGTCCCCCTCCCTCACCATTCCCATCAGCTCGTCGTCTCCCAGCCCCACCAGCCCCAACGCCGCCACGTTCCGCCTCAGGCTCTCGGACGTGATCACCCCCCTCTCCGGATCCATCAGCAGCTTGAACCCCTTGCACAGCTCCTCCATCAGCCCCTCCGCCCCCAGCCGCTCCGCCATCCTCGGCAGGAAGTCCTGGAATCCCATCGAATCCCTTGCCGCCGCCATGCCCTTTCCGATACAGTGACAGCAGCGGAGGCGGCCATCCCTATATATACTCCCACGCATACGAAAGCCGAGAAGAAAAAGGTTACAGGGGAGGAAGTTGCCATGGACGCCGGCTAAATGAGGTACAGAGGAAGGAAGGTGTAAGCTTTTGCTTGGCGCCTGGTTCACGAGGGGAAGGTAAAGGAGGCAAGCAAGTGTGGCCAGCCATGCGTGTCGCTTTCGTGGAAGCTGCATGGGGCTTTCACTCCATTGCTGTGAGATGTCCTTTGAGATCAAACTAACCGGGAGGAAAGTGGAGTCCGTGCCCTCACGGCGTGGATCATGAGATGCTCATCATCCCCGCCCTCGAGGCTTCAGCAGCGTTAGGTCGCAGAGGACGAGGCCTGAGATTTTGGTTCAGCCAAAAATGACGGGAATACATCATCATCCTGCAGAGCTCATGCAACTTCGTGGCAAATCAAGTGGCACAGCCTCGGGTAGATCATTCGACCACCCCCAACTTATAAAGTATCAAAGTGGTGGAATGAAACAGGAGTACCGTTCTCAGTTGTTTTTGATGATGTGTTGTCACACAGGCATTGGTGGTTGATTGGAGTAAATCGTCGAGGATTGGATGGATGGATGGATCCCACCACTTCAAGCCAATATCTGCTTGACTGACACAACGAGCATGACATTTGTTGTTCTCGAATGGTACTTACGACACACGAACAGGAGGAGAGGACTGGGCATATTCTCTGCTGATAAAAATTGGAGGTAAGGACGACAATATTTCATAGAGTACTGAAATGTTGTTTATGTTAAGAGGAAGAAAGATCAAGTGAAGTAGGAACAAAGCAAGCATAGAAAAATATTGATTCGTTGATTCTCCTACATCAGTTAGTCTACATGTTACAATATTATATCAGACAAATGAATCTTATGGAGGAGAGGAGAGGAGATGAACAGACTTCACAAAACCATGACTTCGTTGCCAAGCAAATGCATGCCGCAAGACTTTAGTGAACTCAATCACATTGTTTAGGTACCATCATCTTTCTTCTTATCCGGCATTCTGTCGTATGACCATTTGTTTGTCTTGACTAGGGTAAATCATCCGTGGTAATTGAAGTTGTGAAGAAAGGAATAGATTACATCAAGTGTAATCTTTTTTTTCAAATAGTATTAAACCCAAATTAAACTAAACAAAAGAAAAAAAATCAAGACGAAAGTAACAATATAATATATATATATATATATATATATATATATATATATATATTAAACTTTTCAAAAAAATATTTACATAATCTTGAACTATTTTGGAGCTGACCCTATACGTCTGCACAATTAGACTTGGATGGATCTACGCACACATGTAGATGACATCTATTTATAAGTATAAAATAATAATTTAAGTTAAGAGACTTTTATCTTAATCAATTTATTTAAAAGATAAAAGATAAAAAATATTAAAACCTTTCAAAAATAATATTTTAAATCTTAATACTCAAGTATACTTTTGAAGACAAGTCCCAACTGTTGAATCTCGTATTTTGATGATGAAACTACTTGATATATGTTTATGATTTAATCTGCGTTTTGAGTGACGCAGGATGCTTGGATCAGGATGAGACAATTAAAGCAGGAAAATCATGTTGTGCCGGAGGAACATGTCAGAAGATTGGACGTCGGGCCGGTGGATCGGTTGACGTATCGACAGAAGGCTTCGGGCCGTGGACTCGGGCATCGGGCCAAGAAGAGCGGGTATTGTGCCAAGGATATCGGAGTTGCGGAGCCAACTGGCCGATTGGGCAATAGGCCGCAGGAAAGGACGATGCGCCGAAAATCGGACGAAGCGTCGAGGGACCAATGACATGCCGGACAACTTGGTTAATCGCTTAGGATTAATTGTCTCGATCGAAGTTTTGTTTTGAGTGTGCAGGATTAACTACGATGAAAGTTAGACAAGCAGCAGGAGTTGCGCCGGAGTCAAGTTCATGATCACGTTGGGAGTTCGAGAGTTCGACGGAAGTTCGGACGGTCGTCGGAGGTTCTGCGAGAACAGATCCGAGAAATCCAGAAGCTTGCCAAGCAAAGCTCGTCGGAACTCGCCAAGTGGATCGTCGCAAAGTCCAAGAGTTTGCCGGAAGTCCGCAGGAGCATCACCGAGGGTTCATCGGATGATCGACGGAAGTTCGCCGAAAACTCGCTGGAAGAAGCGATTGACGCACCGAAGCAAAGCTGCAGAAATTGTCTTAGATCTAATCGTAGTTAGCACGTTGATTAAGTTGGAAAATGGGAGGTGATCCCATTAGCTTAATCTTGGGGA